TTTCAAAATCTTGTGAATGTTGCACTCAATGTGTTCCGCCCAACGAAAAACTCCCAGTTATATATATTATATATAAACACACCAATAACTGGAGTACTTCCCCACACACCACAAACAAAACCTGAGCTACTTCGCTGACCTCAACAACAATAAAAAATGTCTGCTCGGTGCGTGATTGCGATTTATCACAGCTAAATAAATGATTTCCCTCGTTTTGTCTGCCTGATATCTAACTAGAGTACATGAAATATGTGTAATTCACCTGTTTGTCACCTGTTTGTTGTAAGATCTGACTTTCTGCAGCAGCAGAAATGTTTAAGCGAAACAAGCTCTACTGCAGTTAATCAATCAAAGGACAGCTGTATAAATACAGATATTTAAATTTACGCTCTTCTGATTTTTGGTGGAATATAAATAAATACACATAAATATAGTATATATATATATTTTACCCATTTTTAAGAAGTAAACAAACACAGATGTCATGAAACAGCTAAAGGTCGTTTAAGCAAATATTACTTAACTTATACCGTAGAGCCTGCCTAATTGGAGAAGCTTACATTATACAATTTACAGTCAGTAAAATATAGTTAAAGTATGCCTATATATGTATGTACATCCTCTAACTACTGATAGCAGATATTTCCACAAAGCCAGTATACCCCATTAGACCACCAAATTAACAATGGGTATGCGCAGCTGTAACTATATCTCATACATCTAACTATAATAACAACCATTTGAAATTAAATTAGCTGTTGTTCCAATTTCTAGATATGTTCTATTATCAAGTGTTCACGTTTTTGGAAGAATTTCGCTTTGGCTTTTCTATTAACAGTTGCGCCGTGTTTGTTGTTGTTCATTGTATTTTTCGTGTGTTTGTTGTGTAAACAAGTGTCAAATGATGCATATGAGCTGGCAATGAATGGAAATATTCAGCCAAGTTGACAGACTTATGGTGCTTAATACATAGAGCTTTGCTTATTAGCCATATATTTCGGAATACAATAAATAAAATTGAATTCATTAATTCTGCAGAAGAGCAGCCAGTCACGTGCCAAGTTTCCAGATAAGCCAAGAGCCGACTAATGAAGAAACTATTTCAGCATTTCGAATTCCTGCTCTATATTTAGTTAAAACATAGAACAGCTGTTACGCTGATAACTAACTTTAGTACGAAATATTTCGTTTGTTGGGTCACATTAAAGGCACTTGAGGTATTTCCATGCCAGCCTCACTTAAAATCTATTATTCATTATGGCCAGTTATTAGATACGATTGAAATCCATTTGAACAATTAGTAAACATTGCATAATTTGATTATTATTTATTATTTAAACTAAGGCAATTAAAGCTGAATTATAAAATAGAATTTCTTATTATTACTATTGTTGTCATTGTTGTTGTTGTTGTTGTTGTTGTTGTTGTGATTGTTGTTATTGATCAAACAGTAGCAGCTACGACGCGACGTACCAAACTGTTGCTGTTTATAAGGCACTCGCGTGCATCACCCATCCAACCTATCAGCATTTAAACCCGCTTAGCATGCATCTAAGCTAGCACTTGAAACATTGTAGTGTTTGTATTATCATAGGTACAGTGGACGCACGAGTTAAAGGCAACACTAGAGTGGGCATTCATATAAAGATTGATATGTAATACATAATTAGTGAATCATTATTTATAAGGTATTTAATATTATTCCGTCATGTTTATTATATATTAATAAATCTATTAGTTATTATCATATTTTCCTTATATGCTATATTATTTATACTATATTCATTTTCATCCCATAGTTACATATATATATGGGAATTACTTTATTTATCTGTCTCTCATTCTTATTAATAGCAAACGCTTTGATTTCATTAAAATAATCAGCTAAATTCAATAAGAAAGCTAGTTCAAGACAAAGACAAAAACCTAAACATACTTTCTCTTATCAGTCTGGCAAATAAGTTTATCAATTTCAAAGTATTTCTTATCTGTGAAGCCCAACTGTTAATTAGAATCACAATTATATATATATATATATATATATATATATATATATATATATATATATATAT